CGCTTCGCATACTTCTGTCACACACTCCCCGTAAATAAACATCCGCGAAATTCACCCGCACTGAAATAACAGTTTGGTGTGTTGGATAATAAATAACTTATTAGACGTTTTGTTGCGTAGTATCGCTGAGTATTTTTACTCATTATTTGTATTTTGACTCGCCCTATGGGCTCGTCAAAATATGGCACAACTCGTAAAAATACTCAGCGATACTACACAACAAAACGTCTAATAAGATATATGTATTGGCTATTGGCTCATTTAGTTACATGATGTATTTACACCAATCATGCGGCAAGTGAGAATAAATATTAATAGGGGAGAGTGTAAGGATAAATACAAAATATGTCCAAAACAACTTATGACTCAACATGTTTCTCAACAAATTTCTCACTGAATTACAAATAAACATCTAACATGATAATTCTTATAATTGAACAAATATTTCTATTTGAGCGCAATTGGTAAAAACACATTACGTGACTGCATCCCCCAGCTAAAACTGGGGGATATCCAAGGATATACCCCAAGTGATATTCCCCAATTTTCAAACCTTACGCCCATTGCAAAAAAAACCTTGCGCAGCTGTTGATAGAAGGAACACGTTCATAAAATCGTACCAGAGAACATATTAATTTTATTAAGGAAGTGAACATCCCACACCATAAATGGTAAGCTGTTTGTAAACATTTTTCCTGCATGCTGAAAAATTTTTGAATAATAATAAACGCAATAGCCTCCATTTGGCACACACACAAAAAAATTGCTCATATATTTATTTTTCCTTGGACATCATCTGTTCCTCAAGCTTTGCTCTTAGAAAAATGTTCACATCTCAGAACCAATAATATCAGCGGATGAATATCGGTGCATATTTTGACACCAAAAACCATAAAACTGCAAATGAAATTGAAAGACTTACTTAACCCCTTCTCCTCTTTGTTCACCAATGACAACTTGGACAATAAATTTGTATCTGTCCAAATCAAGTTCTGCAATACAATGAACACAAGAAAAACACTGAAGAAATTTGAAATTTGGCTAAAAAATTAAAGTACCCAGGGCTCGACACTAAGGGTTGCCAACTAGCCCCAAACTAGTAGAAATTCAGTTTTGGCAAGGGGTTTTCAATTTCCACCAGCCAGTTTGGTTAGTAAACAAACTGAAATTGTTGTAACATCTAAGTTGTCACTTGCCACTTGGCCTGTAAGTTGAAAAGTCAGTGTCAAGCCCTGGTACCAAGTGTAATTATCTAACGGTTATCTTTTGGTGTTCACCATTTTGCAAATATTCAATCGCAAAATCGTTGATGCCTAAAAAGCAGATATCATTATAAGTAGTATTATCACCTAAAATCACTTCGAATTCTTGAATATTCAATATGTAAAAGGATTGCTCTACAGCTTTTTTGCAATTGATACCTAAATCCCAAGTTAAAGTTGTTTCAAAGTTTCCATTTGGCAAATCTAAAACTGCAATTTGGTCCCTAGCTATAACTAATTAATGAGAGTTTAAGCCCCAGCGAAACAAAATCAAGAACAAAACCTTTGAGAAGGACATTTTGCAACCTACATACACTTCAACTTCACTAAAACTATGTAATAAGAATGTTACAATCAATGAATTTGAATATGTGAAAAGTATATAAATTATATGTACTGTAGTTTCAAGAAACGTATGAAAGTGATCCTTGCAGTAATGAATCCTACCTATTTAAATAATACAGTGTTTCTGTCGAGGAACTATCAGCTGATAGTTGCCCCGCGGAAATTTGATGTTCTTAAAACAAATATGCTAGTTTTAAGAAAAGCTTCTTGGGCAAATATGCTAGTTTTAAGAACATCAAATTTCCAAGGGGCAACTATCAGACCGATAGTTCCGAGACATAAACACTCTATTGTTTTTATTGTTCACCACTAAATTTTCTTCTGCCCCTACAGCTTGTCACAAATGTCAATAATTCGCAACCGTTACATTGGCTAAATAATACGTTATACCTGTCAGAATTGAAAAGTCACTGTTTTTCCAATCTGCCTAACTTCGCGGCCGTCAAACTATTCAAAACTTTTCATGGATGAGTACTATCAATCCAGGTATTTTCCATGGACGGGCACTATCCATCCGGGTATTTTCTGAGGGCGGGCACAATGGGCTGATAGTGTCTCTCCACGGATGAACACTATCGCATCAAGTGATCGATTTAAACCAATAAAAACCGGAGAAAATTTAGTGGTGAACTATAAGAAGTAGTATCTAGAAATAAGGCCTGGAAAACAATTCAGGCCTGTACAGGATTTGAACCAATGACCTCTGTGATACAGGTGCAGTGCTCCACCAACTGAGCTTATGAGCCAACTGGGAGCTACTACATATTAAGTAGCGTTCATAACTGCGAGGATTCCTTTCATACAAGAATGTTACAAGTAAACTTGGTAAATGATCATCAATGGTTAGTGTAGTATAACTAGTGTTATTACAGATTACAGTTTTAATGAAAAATCTGATTGAGAGCATTTGATACAACACACATGATAAACAGGTACTATCTGATAATACATGATAAAGGTATTATTTGCATTTATCATGTTGAGTCCAAAGTCTGCCTAGTTTCTGTGCTGGTTGTTCATGTAGTGTTTTCCAAATTTTGCAAACTCAAGGAGAAACTCAAATTGGCTGCATGCTTTTAAAAAATGTGTAATAACACAACTACTGAATTGTGTTTTTGAATGATATTATGACATATCGAACCTTAATTGTGTCTGATTTATCATACTTTTCCTCATCAACCAATTGCTTATTTACAGGCTACTGTAACACAATTTAATGTATTTATGTACCGTCTAGTGTTAGTATAGTTAGTTTTACCAATAGCTTGGTAGGAGCAGGGCTCGACAATAATGGAAGCTAGATTTAAGCCACAGGCTAGTAGAAATTCAGTTTTGGCGAGTGGTTTTCCATCTCCACTAGCCAGTTTGGCTAGTAAGCAAACTGAAATTGTCATAACATCTAAGATGTCACTAGCTACTTCAGGCTAGTAAGTTGAAAGGTTAGTGTCGAGCCCTGAGGAGGTGAAACTTTGTTGGTACTGCTAGTAAAAATGTAAGAAATGTAAATTGTGTATTGTATGTAATGTCACTACTGTTACATATGTCAGTAAGTTGCCGCTAACGTTTATATTGTCACAAATGCTATTATTAACCTTTGTGAATATATGATAATCATTTATGTGAACTGTGGTTGAAGAAATGAGTATAACAACAATCTTTGCAGTAATGAACACTACTTAAGCAATATTAAGGGCCAGAAAAAAAATACAGGTCTGTACAGGAGTCAAACCAATCCATGACGACTTCAGCATGGACAAAGTGTGTACTTCTGCGAACCCCACTCAAGTGGGGTCTGTGCATACGTATGAGCTCTGTTACCTAGTAACGCGTGACGTATTTTACGCCATGTTTCACTGGGAGTCTTTGATGGAAGCTGTGTAGTATTAAGCCAGTTTGGATGCGATCGGAGAAACTAAGGATAGATCGAGAAATTCGAAGCAAACTGCGTTAAATCTGCAAAGCTTTGTTTGCTAAGTGGAAGCATGTTACAGTTCAACAAGCAGTTTAGTAAATGGTTTTGATCTTTGAAACACATAAAGATTCTGTCCATGGAAAATTATGCAAATTCACGCCTGAAATGAAAGCGAACCATAATTTGAGCTTTTTGTTTACAAAAGCTTTGGTGCTATTTAGAACTAAATATCGGTCTTCCTAAAGCGAAGACATTGTTCACAGAAGGAAATTTTGCATAGGTAAGGGGTGCTTATTTACTGGTCTTTTTTATTTCAATATCTTGTACCGTTTGTCTTGATTTAGGGCACAATTCCATTTTGTTCTTGTAGCCGGCATAAAGAAACGAACTGGATGTTTGATCTGTGATCTCTCGTGGATCACAAACACAGCGATTCCACTCTGCATTCCAGCCGTCAAAGGACACAATCGCGAAATTATCATTCACTTCTTTAACAGTGCATGCACACCAAACTCCTTCTTCATCGACTGCTTCTGCTTTGAAGCCAACAGTTTTTGGAAGCGATATCTCATTTTTTGTCAACTGTGCCTTAATTTTGCTTAGGCGACCACAACAGGTTTGCGATTGAGAACGCCAGTCAACTTGTTTTGAAGAATTTGCAATCGGTCACTAGGATACTTAAGGGTGTCCAATATCTCTCAGCAATTCTAGCACCTCATTGCGCATGTGTCGATTAAAACTGGAATACTTAATGAATTACACACTTTATCTGTGTTGAAGTTGTAATGACCTCTACGATACTGGTGCAGTGCTCTACCAACTGAGCTAACAAGCCAAATGGGAACAGTGGTCATTGCGTTGTTTTGTGATCGGTCAATGTAAAACGCAGACTGCGGACTGTAGACCGGGGGTAAAATGCAGACTGAGGGTAAAATGCAGACTGCAGACCAGGGGTAAAATGCAGACTGCAGACCAGGGGTAAAATGCAGACTGAGGGTAAAATGCAGACTGCAGACCAGGGGTAAAATGCAAACTGAGGGTAAAATATTAATAATAAAAAAACGAGTCTTAGGATGAAATAAAGATCATACCCCTAAAATAATGTCACGTCAGGACTCACGAAATACACAAAGGCCGCTTCACGCAGTATAAAAGTCACGTCATCTCCAAGTCACATGGCACTATAAAATGTCGGAAAATGAGGACAATGATCTCCTGGTAATTTTCGATAATTTGCGTTAATGTCATTCACAAACTATGCTCGAAACCTACAAGTTTACCTTGCCTTTTTGTTGTGCTGTCGTGTTTTGCTTGCCCTGTCTTCCAAACAATTCCAAGGCCATATGAAGAATTTGAACACTTAGAGAGTTACTTGGTCCCAGACCAACTCGCGAAAGCACAATTCAAAATGGCCGACTTGTAAACAAAGGTAAGAAGCCTTACGATCAGTTTGGGTGCTTTTGGGAAACTTGGTTCAACAAAATGGGGAGTTCAAAAACTCGAGGTTGATAATACGTTTGAATAAGGTAAATAAACGCCTTTTGGTTCGAGTTTTCGGGATTTTGAAAAAAAAATTACGGGTACGGGTAGGAACACTCCCAAGTCTTGTTTTTTTATTATTAATATTTTTAATCTTACCCTCAGTCTGCATTTTAACCCTGGTCTGCAGTCTGCATTTTACCCCTGGTCTGCATTTTACCCTCAGTCTGCATTTGACCCCCGGTCTGCAGTCCTCAGTGTGCGTTTTACACTGACCAGTTTTGTAATAAACCCGTGAAGTGAATATATGATAATCATATATGTGGACTACCGCTAAAGAAACAAGTATAAGAGCGATCTTTGCAGTAATGAACATGGCATGTACTTAAGCAGTAGTGAATACTAGGATTGTAAGTTATATATTGTTAAAAAAAAGTTAGTATTGCAAACAAATAAAAGACAGTTGCTATTAAAGAGGGGGACTTTGGGATTTTCGGTTTTGCAGTTTTGACTGTTTTTTGGATCAGTTTTTGGTTTTTGGGCAAAAAAGGTTCGGTTTTTTGGTGTTGATATTCAGAGCGGTTTGAGGATTTTACGTGTTTTTGCATTCGATTTTCAGTTTTCACGAAAACTGATGCGGTTTTCGGTTTTTCCTTCATGACCTTTTTAAAGGTGAAAATGTAGGTGTTTTGTCAGGTTTGCATGTGGTTTTCGGTTTTGCTGCCTTTTTTCGTCAGTTTTTCGGTTTTAGAGGTTTTTTCTCCGGTTTTGCAGTTTCCCAGAGACCCCAATGCCCCCCTCCTAAAATATATTTCTACTGGCCAAGGAAATCAAAGTAGTTGCAGCTTGAAGAACACGAACAAAAACAGATCAAAAGTAAGCTGTGACATATTGCTGTCAAGGGAAGATGCATTTGTATTAATTTCATATAAATCTTATTTTGTATTTTCATCTAGGTTTGAATCGATTTTGTATTTTCATAAAAAAGTAAAGTTGCTGTCAATGATAGGTTCGGAAAGCCGAACGATTTCAAATCGTAACGATCTACTACTCACTCATGAGTAAGAGAAAGAGCAGATTTGCCAAACTCCAAAACTTACCTTTCAGTTTTTCTTTCACTGTCTCAGAAATGTGTTTACACCATGCAGTGGCTTCCTCTGAGCTGTATTTTTTGCCTGATAGTTCGTCATTCAAAACATCATGAATAATTGCTTTTACAGAAGCAGGACGGAATCTGATCAGTGCATCAAACAAAGAAATTTCATGACACAACGAAGAAACACCAATACGTAAAGGAAGAGAAGATAAATTTACGTAAAATCGCCAGGTACAGGGTTAAATGAGGGCAGAAAAATGCGGCAATAATATACTTACTTGTGCTTGAAATTAGGTCGAATATTATAAGAATTGGACAGGTCTTCAGGCATCCTTCTTTTTTCCCGAAACTGGAGAGGTCATGAAGGGTAAATGCTACATAATCGCAAAGTTGAACTTCAAGTACTTAAAAAATGGCGGCGAACAAAAGCAAATCTTATATCACCATGACTACGAATCGATACAAGGCTTGTACCCAGGACTAAGAGGTTTGCCCTGGCTCGGTCAACTATCAAGATGCATGGCTGCGCTGCATAACTTGGGAAGGAATGAAAGTCAACTAATTAACTCCTTTGGAGGAAGAGAAAGGCAAAGGATCATTCCTGGATTAAAAGTGGATATGTGAGTCCCATGGAAGAAAGATTCTGTCTGATAGAATGCATATCATTATGCAACTAAGGCCAATCTTTGAGAAAATTTTGCCCGAAGTAGTTCCAAAAAAAAGTTATCTTGTTATGGACCAACATAACTGGGAGGGGAGGGAGGGGGAGTAGCAGTACTCGCTTCGTGCCACTGAAACCAGTGTAACAATACTTCTTGTCCCACTCTCGTTCACCACCCCTCCCCCCCCCGTGCGTTATTTAAACTGGGATCACCTCCGGCTTCGGCCAATAGGCTGACCTAGCTTTTCTTCCATGCTTCTATTCTTCATGGTGACCAAGTTACATTATCTACTCAGTTGATAAAACCAAATTATCCTGTAACTCCCTCAGCCAACGCATCACCACAGTTTCTCCAGAAAATAGTTTAAGTACTCCTTCCCGCGACAGTCTAAGAAAGTTTGCCGGATTTCCAACGAACTTCAAAACAAAGTTTCGGAGAGATTTCAAATTTTAACAAATTTTCAAGTTGTTATGATTTATTTATTATCTTCATCTTTACTCCTGAGTAGTAAGTAACAGTGCGGGAATGAGTGTTTTTCAAAAAGTCCCCAGACACAATGACCCGGCTACTGCCCAACCTCGTTCCCAGAGCCTTTTACCTTAGTTGGCCTGGGAACGAGGTTGGGCTAAGCCTATCACCCAGTCCCAATAACTTAAATCCCTGCAGGTTAACTAGGCTACAAAATCACTCACACAGAAATTAGTGCAAAAAAAGAAGAAGAAGAAAAAAAAGGTTTTATTGTTTCCGGAAGAGCAAATAAAATTTCTTCACTGTTTTTTAAGTATCCTACAGTCAAATCTACAAATTGTGATCTCAAGCGCATACAAAGGGTAGCCTAGACATCCAAAAAAAACACACAGCTAGTATTGCAGCCTATCGCACAATCATGTAAATCAAACAGTTTTCTCTCGGTTCTCATTCTCAATTTTCTTGGCGCGCGGTAAGTTCATATTCACAGCGTCCATGATTATCAAGTCCATGTAATCCAGATGGTCCACAGGTACGTTCCCTTTCGATAACCTTTTACCGCCATTTTTCCCTGCGTTTGGGTGACGTTCCCATTTTGTTGGTTCGTTCGCGTTCGAGCTTCGCCTAGGAGGCTGTTGCAAAACATTTGGATTTGCGATGATGGTCTCACTGATTCTACCGCCGACTTCATCCTCTTCTTTTTGTGCTCTGAGACATACAACAAGTTCAGTATTTTTTACTATTGCTATTATTTACATTTAAGTATGAAAATGACAGCTATTAGCTGCTAAGGGAGCAGTTTTTTTAAATTCTGGATGAAAAGGCTATAAAAAGAAGCGATGAAGATTCCTTCCCAGGCCTCTCGTGGCAAAGCTCGTTAAAGCTCCCACTTAGCCGCTACCTAGCTACTTAGGCTAGTAGATTAAAACTTACTTTCTTATTTTCTGCATTCTGATGATGACGATAGAGATAAACAGAATCACGAAAAATAGGAACAGTACAGAGAAACAAAGAAACCCAATGGTCACATACAAAACTGCAATGAAAAAAAATAAGTAATCAGGTGACATCGACTACAAGTCGTAAACGGATTTTCGCTGTTTACTCGAGAGCGTTCTTGGTTTAGTTGAACGTGAGCTCATTTCCCAATTCCCGACCAGCGACTGGTAATTTATTTCATGCTTCTGGAGGATTCTAATTCTTGGTGACTCAAATTTCGCGGTAACGCGAACTAAAAATTGATTCAAGCCAAAATTGAATAAGCGCGAAATTTAGGGAGAATCAAGTTTGGTCGGAGAAGATAAGAGTCATATTATCGGAAAGAACTGTCATCCGCTAGTCCTTAGACTAATCTTGGCTGTGGTACACCAAAAATGTGGTGTAGGGAGGGAAGGGAGAGGGGAGGGGAGAAGAGGAAAAGGGAGGGAAGGGAGGGGAGGAAAGGGAAGGGAGTGAAGGGAGTGGAGGGAAGGGGAGGGGAAAGGCAGGAAAGGAGAGAGATTGAAGAGGAAGGGAGGGGTGGGAAGGGAAGAGAGGAGAGGGGAGGGAAAGAGGGGTTGATCTCACCAGTCATACCAGATGATTTCACAATGTTTCCTTTTTAAGACAGAGGTCCGTCAGAAGCACCGAGGGTCTGACACATCCCTCCTTCCTTATTTACGCCTTTGATAATGGCAATGGTAAATCATAATAGATTTCATGAATGTACGAATTCTTCTGGCCAAGCTTATTTATAAGTCGATCATCGTTGATTAAAGAAATATAACAACTAGCATTTTCTTTCGTTAGTTTAACTGAAAATGTGACAGTTGTAGTTTGTGCTCGTGGGAAAACTTACGTAGGTTATTGTCATTCAACAGGTCGTCCAGCTTGCTACCATTTGTCAGCCCTGAAGAAAATTAAAGTGTGTTTTTTAAGTTCCTGAGCTAAGAGGGACCAGTCATTATAATTATTTGTGGTCTGGAAGGAGAGAGAGGGGTTCCAAAGCACTCTCTGGGGGAAGCGCATGGTTGAAATGATGACCAAAATACTCCTTACTCCACACCCTCTGGGCGAGAAATGATTAACCGGTCTATTAAAAATGTTAACAAACGTACTGCTAACACACTAACAAAGTATTTCTGGCTTTGGGTTTTAATTTACTGTTGATCAAAGAACATCAAGTCGTTAGACAGATCCTAGCTTTTCATTGACGAAATACTAATGTAAAAGTTCAAACTCGGAGGCCTTCCCAGTATTTATTGTTAAAATCAAATATTTTATAGTCTAAAAATTGAAAAATTGCTGATCAGCTGCATCATCTGAAATAAGAAAAATACCCTACACAGGGGTTGGGGACCTGTGAATTTTAATCGCTTGAGAGAGACTGAAAGATTTTGTTTGTGTCACGAGAAAATGTACTTGATCTCCCCCCATAAGGACGACTAATTTCCCCTTGAAAAACACGTGATCCTCCAAATTCCGCTCTCAGGTGATAGCTAATGACTGTTTTCTTACATGAAGTAATGTTAGATATAATTTAAGAGATACATAACAATACGGAATTTTTTTTATAAATATTTTAAAATGCTAATATGAACAAAATCATAAAAACAAAGAGATACTATCGAAAATGATGTAATACGCGAGTGTTAATGAGTTAGCAAGTTTGATTGGTTGATATGAACGAAGCAGAAGTGAATTGAAAGCGTTGATTGATATTCGATGCTAAAATGATATGACCATATTGTAATAATAATATTATTAAGAGCCAAGACAGGAGGTTTTGTTTTAAAATTCCCCTCTTAGAGTATAGTGATTGGATGCCATTCAAGAAATTTCTCATAACAACACAATTGAATTGTTATCAAAAGCGCTGACTGATTGAAATGCTATTTAGTTTGGGATGGCGTTACCTGCTGTCAATTCTATTGTGTAAAATTATTATTACAATAGATCTTTTGAATTGCTTCGATCTTTTAAAATTTTAATAATATTTTTTATATTGAACATATTTGTTGCTGATATCGGGTTCATTTAAATGATCAATTTATTTTCCTGTTTTTGTACTTATAACGATTTCTGATTTATAACAACTTTAGATTTGAATTCTTTGTCAATAAGTGAATATTAAAATTTTAAGCCATTCCAACAATAAAAAATTTTAGTTTAAGCCTTAGTGGCCTTTCTTGAATACGCTTGCAGCTATATCTAGTACATTGTAGCAAAACACTTCAAAGAAGGATAACTTACCTGTTGATGCCAATATGAAAAAAATCTTGAAAACAACTGAGCGATTTTTAGATGCGTCATCCATTGAAACTGAAAAACTGCCAAATGGTTTATTTACACCAATTTCCTTTACCAACGTCGACGAGCGAGATTCTTAAATCTGTAATGGAGAGAGCAAACTCCGATAGCGGGACGACTCAGCTCTGGATAAAATAAAACTGGCTTCTAACAAACGACTTGGTATAGAGCTTCAGTGAGTTCAGCAGCTCACGAAACGAAAGCAAATAAGTGTTTTGCTATCCTGGACTCCTTGAATCACCTTTGCGTTGTTCAGTTTGACCATATAACACTTTGCCTGGTTTTAAATATTCTATCTCAGTGCGAAATATGCGTCAGTTGCTGCGTTAAATGTATTCGCTCTCTGACACCAATGTCGATCAACCATATCGCATGATAATGCAAGCATATCTATTTCTAATATACAATTCCAGTCTCTCTCGGTTTTGAAACATTTCGAAGGACAAAAAAAATTTGTCGGTACTACAATCGGGACGCGCACTCCTAAAGCTTATAATTATCCCCAGAAACATTGTTAATTTGCTTGTCATTAAGGAAATATTGAAAACTTTGAGGGAGATGACAAAAGAATTTCCAAGATCATTTAAGCCTTGGAAACAACACTAGATCGATCTATCTAATTACTTCCTATTTTTGCTCTTCTGATATCATGATCAGGTGCCGGCAGGAGAAAATTATATTTCTCTCAGGGGAACGATCATTAGTTATCAATTCAGGGGGGTCAGATCGGAATTTGGTTGTGTCAAAATAAACTTTACCTGACCCGCAAAAGGCTCTTTATATTTCTAATACCCCCCTCACAGGAAGTAAATTTTCCACAGTCCTCCCCCTTTAAATTCTATTAGAGATGATTTACCCCTCCACCGTTCCCTCTGAAAACCAAGGGTTTACCCCTAAAATCCTCCGAACCCCCCTGCCCCTCTCCCCTAAAATTGTCCCTTGGATGAATTACATTCATACCTATACCAAAACTGCTGATTTTTTAAAGAATTCTAGTCGGAGTGCAGTGGACAATTCACGATAAGGGAGGGGTTAGTGGGGATAAAACGGTTGAGATTTCGAATTTGCCGCTCGCTAGCACCGCAACTCAACGGAAATCATTATAGGTTAGAAATGTAAACATATCCGCCAAAAATAGCGTTTACTCGAAGATTTTTTCGCTAATACAAAAAGCATCATGTATACAAAGTCTTGATGAAGCTAGCAATACAAATAAAATGAATAAAGGCTGATAGTTTCGAAAGAAACTGTTTGGGGCTGCGTCGGTGTGGATAACGAAATAATTTGGATATATCAACAAAGTTGGAATGGTAAATTGGCCACCATAACGATTACAAAAGCTGACGTTTCGAGCGTTAGCCCTTCGTCGGAGCTCCTCCCTTCGCTCCGACGAAGGGCTAACGCTCGAAACGCTCCGACGAAGGGCTCGCTCCGACGAAGGGGTAACACTCGAAACGTCAGCTTTTGTAATCGTTACGGTGGCCAATTTACCATTTCATCTTTGTTGATATATCCAAATTAATACAAATAAAAGCCCAGGTGGTGGAGACTTTTTTCGCGTTTGACGCGTATTCTTTCACTTTACAGAAGCGGAAGAAGTGCTTTCTTCTTCAACATTTACGGCCTCTTGCTTGCGCACCGGAAACCTGGTAAATTTGAACTTTTTCTCTCTCTCTTTCATTGGATTCTGCAAAAAAAAGTATACATAATAAGTGTCCGTACAATTTAATGATGAACGATGCCACTGCACAATTCATGAAAAGTCCTTTATTTTTTTCAAGAAGTAGTGTGGGAAATAAGAGGATTTTGCCTTCAAAAGGGTCACGGTGCAGACTTGGTGCAGACTGGTGCAGACACAGTGCAGACACGGTGCTTGGTGCAGACACGGTGCAGACACGGTGCTTGGTGCAGACACGGTGCAGACCGGGTCACGGTCCAGACCTCTTCCAGTTTTTCCGCATCTATGCCGGCTCCAATAAGGCCTCGCATCGCTTCCAGTTGGACTACATTTGAATGATAATGGCACCACACAATCATACCTTAAGAATTAATTAAACTGACTACGCTGTTTCCCCATCTTCGCTCAAACGTCTTACCAAAGATTTTCTTGGAGTGGATCGCGCTTCTTCATTGGGCCTCACTTTCATGTTATCCGTGCGATTCGGACCAGGTGCAGTGCTACTGTCTCCATGTAAGTTAACCTCATATACTGCACGACTGTTGCTTATCCTGACAAGATTCGGTTAATTCTTTATTAAAAGTAAGTGAAAGTACTCACGTATTAATTCATCGCTTTAAGATAACAGTAACAGGGTCCTCCCTTCATTTACTGTCTATCACGGAATAGATAGCGAGTAGCGTAACCAATCAGATTGCGTCATTTGTGATAGAACGCAATTAGACTTGTATTAATAGTGGTTATTCCTAAAAGAGTTACATCGTCTCATATCAGTGAAAAATAATTTCAATTTTCAGTTTCGACTTTCAGTTTCAGTTTCAATTGTAAGAACTTTTGTACTTAGACAGCAACGACAAAAATTGAACCTCTTTTAGTCCGCCACTAGCTACCTCCGCACTCTCGAATGACGAAAAAAATTGCGCTACCCGTAGATGAGGGTTTGTTTAGTAATTTTCTGTTTCAAGGATGACTGCGCACTTTAACAGGTTGGGAATCAATTATTTCCTATGTCCTATTCGCAAACGAAAGGTTTAAGTTCACTATTTTTTTAAAAATGATTTCTGCCATCTGTTACGATGTGAATCTTGTAAAATGGAACAAAGCCTACTTTTTCATCATTATGTAGAGTGATTCTTGATTGCGGACGCTGGAGGACGTCTCTTTGCAAAGTTGGCAGAGTTCGTTCCAAGTTATTTCATACAGACTGCTGCTTAGTAATCTAAAATGGCATATCCAAACGGCCTCTCCGCGATTGCTCCTGTTCTGTGCGGGGTTTACAGTAGATCTGAAAACGTCTAGAGAAGATAAATTAAAGTTTGTGAGATAACTATTTGAAATGATGTATTACCTTGTTTCCAAAGTTTACATTTTGCAAAAGCCACGATCGTTGATAATGTTGAGCTATGCAGTTGCTGGATGTGTATATCACATGTCTGGAAATTGCTCCTCGCTCGAAGGAATACCTCAAAACAAACTTTGAGTGTACAACATTTTCTGGGGAGCTTTTTAAAGATACTATTACTGTTGTTAACAAACTTTGTTGCTCAATTTGAAGTTGGTGTAGTTTTCAGTATTTAGTGGTGTGTACCTTTAACAAAGAGAGTACTGAAGTGAAATTATTGAATGTTTTACAGATTGCCGCATTTGGAGAACATTTAAAGTCAATGACAGTTTTTGAAAGAATAATCGGAAATGATGAACTAATCTCATCTTTCCCATGCTAGTATGCAAAATCCTTCGCAGATAATGAACAATCATGTTGCTGTATGTAACACAGCGTGAAATTTCCTTTTCTGTGGAAAATATATCAACAAACTTTGTCACATTTACTAAGGTTTGCTTTTAAGGTACTATCGCTACTATGAGCAGAGAACTTGGTTCAACTTAAATCGGAGTAGTCCTCAAATATTGCAAGCGATGGATACTTGTGAACAAGTTCAAGAGACAGCTTTGGACCAAATCTTGCTTTATTCCATCTCAATACAGCGAATCTGCTTGAAGACCAAATTCCTCCGTAGTCCAGCGAAGAGAACAAAGACCTTTTTTGTTTGGCAATCATTATCGCGATCAAGCTCGACGGACCGAAGGTAACATTAAATTGTTTAAACCTACCTTCGAAAGGAGATGACTCCAAAATTTAAGCTGCTTCGATTCTTATCATTGACAGTAAGATCAATCGCTAGTGAGTATAATGCTTCTTTACCTGTCGTGTCCCATTTAACTTTGTTTGCTCTGGTTTTGAAATACTTGTTTCCTTGTTTGATTAGGTAAATTATGCAAGAGAAAAATTAGTGTCTTGGACAAAAGGAATACACTCCTACTTTAAGTCAGGATTTGCATGTTTTATTGAAAGTAAAGAAAGGAAAAAAACTGTAGTGCGACTGAGAAAGGCGACTTAGAAAGGCGACTTGGAAAGGCGACTTAGAACATCAAGTTTTTTCTGAGAGCCGCAATTAGGATTCTATTTTCTTATCTTTTTGCATACTCAACAACGATTCCACCACCCTTCCACCTTTCGTAATAACGTAGAGACACCATCATCCCCCCCAAGAGCAAAGTGATTCAATCCGAGCAAGATTGTCCATTGAATAAACCATGCAGGCGTGCATGCCAACATCATGCTCATTTTATGTCATTTTATCGTCATTTCCCTGTTTCACAGGAATGAGGAATGACACGTCAACTAAGTAGGCAAAGATACGGGAACAGAAACTTAATTTGCAGATCTGGTTTCGACACTGCTTCTATTGTCGAGGAAGTAAAATATTTGACAGCTTTGTTATAAAGAGCACACATAAGACTGGTACAAAGTAAGATTGGTTATTACGTTTGAAACAAGCTCATTGACAAAAGACGGCATCCATGAATAGGCTAAAATGGTTTGTGTGACTCGCTCGAGGTCACGTTAATAACATGAGGGCTATTGATCTGAATTGGATTGTTCGCCGTCAAACAGTCTTGAAATCGGGTAAACATTTGAGCGCTGGAGTCGGGCTTTGAAATTCGATCGGTTTCGGTCTGTTTTATTTATTTATTTTTTTATGGTCTGTTGTTTTTCATCGGTCTTAAAGTAGACCATTTTAAAATTTTTGTGATCACTGGAGAAGGGAAGTTATGGAGAAGCAACCGCTTTTTTTCACGCTGTTTTTGTGTTTTCCATACTTTCCGTTGATTACTTGGCAGTGGCGGATCCAGGGGGAGGGTCCGGGGGTCCGGACCCCTCCCCCTATCAGACCTGACGCTTACAACTTTGAGACTGAAATTCTTACATCGACAGGATCGTATATCACTTTTTAACTGGCTGATTTTTTTAATTAATGAGTCCAAGTAAACAGTAAGCGGCCAAAGAATTTTAATGTGCAGCCGCGACTGGTGGGAGGGGGGGTGTGGGGAGTGTTGGGGAGAAGTAATTCGCCTCAAAAGAGTCCAACAGTCCTTTCTGAACCAAAGTTTGGACCCCCCCAATCCAAAATTCCTGGATCCACCCCTGCTTGGGTCGATAGTGCACGCTAACAAATGATTCTAATCTTGACTGAAGGCTAATATGTTAATTCATTTTGCTTTATTACGTGGTGATTCACGATAGTTACACAGCGTAATTTCTTAGCAGGAATTTCTTGCCTATATAATTCATGCGATGTCGTCTGTTGTAAAAAGGCTCCTTCTGTTCTACCAGTCAAGCGGAACCGATGCGCTCAT